CTAAGAAGGTGCAGGAATGAAGTTCTTAAAACAATATATGTACTAAACTTGAAAATGCATATCAATAAAGCTTTTCAACAGAAATTGGCTGAACACCTTTTAGAGATTACATTATCATCAGCTTCACAAGTTTCTTATTCCGTTTTTATCTGACATACAAAAGGAGAGAGAACAAAAAAATCAATTGTGATGATAATGGGTGTAATTCTTAACTCATTAGTGTTACATGTACTTACTACTGGGATGAATTTGCTCCTCTGAGATTTAGTAAGTCAGCTTTTCTAAAATCATCAACACTAGTTTCCATCTACTCACCTTTCAAAAGCTTCCATTTTAATTCACATTAAATGATACTAGCAWGGCTAAAACGAACCATTTTGACAGTCCTTAAAAACAGCGATTGCATGTTCTTTTTGAAAAGAGCACCAAACAAACGTTACCATTTAATGAACATCTAAGGCTTCAGGTTTTTTGGAAGGCTTTCATGAAAGATACTCTGAAAGATTCAGAGTGTGCTGCCACCATGACCACACAAACATAAATGACAGGTCAGTCGTCAAGGTGGAATTCATTATGAGAGTCCCAGAGGGACCCATCTGTCCTGCAGCTAAAGGGAGAAACCAAACAGTCTGAGGAGAGAGAAAACATAGACAAGAAGTGGACTGGGCAACAATTACTAGAGAAGAAATACACACTAGAAATACACACGTGCACACATCTGAGTGTTCAGTAATATTAAGTGTTGACTGCCACTGTGGACACTAGCATACTGGGCAATGGCTGATGGGAACCTGCATATAGAGAAATAAAGGACAAAATCTGCCATCCAGACTGAAAGTGTCAACCACCTGCATTCATCTGCAGGCCAACTAAAGGTTACCCTCAAACAAGTACGTGGTTACACAGCAAAGGACCTTCTTCTGCTGGAAATGTGGGTCTCTGTGGCACTACTCAACAACCACCGCTGGGATCCTGGTGAATGTGCCCGTGTCCCCTGTATGGGTTAAACCAGTTTAGAATGGCTGCTAAATCCTGCGGGACAGCACTAAACTATTAAATGAGATGGTCTGCACTACAAAGGTAATTTTGGAATGAAATATAACTGTTTTTTTAAGAAATCCATTTAGTTTTGGATTTTACTTTATTTTCACTTCTGGCTGAACTCTTTTTAAACATTGACTTGCAAGAATTCTTTTCCCTGAGGAGTCTTGTGCACCTACACTGCAGGCAACTGAAACCCTCAGGTCTGCCCATTCTCCTCCTCCCTCTTTCTCCTAGATCTCCTTTCTACTTTTTCCTTTCTTTTTTGACTGTGAAGAACAGGAGAAGATCCTCATTACCCTGCTTCACTGCTCTGTAAAAAGAATTTTAAAACTCCTAATATTACTTAATCACAGCTTTCAGTGCTCCTGCTGCCATAAAACATTATAACAATGGGTTGGCACTTCATCAATTGTAATTTGCTGATATTACAGTCACAGTAGTGCTCAACATAATTGCCTTGCTCTAGCACTGACTCATAAGGCTTCTTGATCTTGGTCAATACTGCTTTGCTCTGGGGGTTGCAGGCAGAAATTTTGCTCTAACAGCTCAGATTTTTGAGTTTCCAGTTCCTGCCTATCRGAGCAGGATGCGTCCCTCCAAATACCTGGCACACCATTGCCCTCAAATTTCACTCCCAGACACTTATATCTATTAGGACACACTTTATTCTTCATTGTTCTCAATTTTACACAGAGCAGCAGAACACAGCTTTCAAACAKAGATAATAACAGCAGTTATTAATAATGAAGGAGCTTGCTTGAAGACAGTAAAATATATTTTGTCAGGGCTTTGAATTCCTTGCAGGTCCAAAACTCCTCGCAGCAAGAACATGACTTTAAACCATACAGGTTATTAATAAGATGCTTATTTCAGGACAGAAGGCACCTTGAGGATCAATTTGATTATGTTGTGGGGTTTTTTTCTGCAGACAAATTAAAACATAAATTATCAACCCAAATGACTTCTACTGAAGATGAAGGACAGCAACAAAGTAAGACAATAGTCCAAACTCTCCATGACAGACCATATTGTTTGTGACTCATGCTGTAAAAGTGTTCATTGTGAGCTGTGAATATTTGTTTCTTATCCAATTGTAGCTTCTCTGAGGTTGGGACAGAGATGACACTACMGGGGCAGGAAAAAACCTCTCTGCAGACATGCAAGCACCCTTCTCAACACTTGTAAGGAATAAAGAATAAGATCCGTGTCACATTACACTCATATGGCTGTACAGACAAACAAACATAATGCTGAGATAGAGGTGTCTGGGTACAAAAGGGACAAGGTATATTTTGATGTCTGCTASTTTTTTGTGCCTCTGCTTTCTGCAACCACGGTCTGGCTCTAAAAGCTGTCTTCCCAGGCTTCCTTTACAGAAGTGATGATGCTGGTGAGGAATTTTCTAAACACCCCTCCTCACCACCTACTGCAAAAGCTTTGCAAGCACCTGCAAAATCTGTTTGTGCAAGCACTTATGTGAAGGGTACAGCAGCACATTGCCAGGACAAAGTGTTACCAAAGGGGGCCACAACAAGGATTATATCCACTGTTTGTAGCCTTGGCATGCTAAACCCTGAGATCCTCAAAGTGGCCAGCTTGTTTTCTAATGCTCTGGCTTGCATAGCAAGGGTAAGAGCTCTTGTCTGGGCTGTGGGAGCAAATGGGGACACCAGAGCCTGCAAGCTGGAATTCACTCTCTCCAGAGCACAGGGCTCAGGATGCCATGTGAAATCCCACACACTGCAGCCAACCGAGTCACACAAGTGGAAGGCTACTGTGAGAATTAAGCTTTGCTTATTCTATGCATTTTGCCAAGATTTTGAAAACCACTTAATGGGCTTGGACAGACTTGAGGAGTGTTTTTAGATTCAAGTACTACTTGTTTAATGGATTTATTTTATAAACATCAGAATTGAGATTTTAAAAATTTCTTTGGGATTTGACCTACTGATTCCTTTTAATTTTTAATGCAAAGTAACATCTGATGCTGGCAACAACAACATAATTGTATAACCCAGATAGTTGCATAAGCTCATTTTATATTCAGAGCAAGGCCTTCATCCACCATGTGGATGAAAGAGGTGGCCGATATTGCAGTCTGGAGGATCACCTCCTTTTGGTTTTACAAATCACTACACAAGTATTATGTCCATGGCACCCAAGTGCCACATCTCATTTGAATAGAACTTTTGAGTCTCCAGATTTCAAATTTACACATATATAAAATATACRTGGGTATACACACAGCTATACACATAGGTGCATTTATTTTACCTACTCTGAGTGTGTCTGGTATGAATGTATGTGCACACAGACATTCCTACGTGTGTCCTTGTCCCCTGGTGCTGGCTACCTGTCTGCCTGAATCTCTGTAGAATATGCCAACATTGCTGTTCTGACTCTGTATAGTGCTACTTCCTGCACCTCCACGACCACCTATGAGGTGCTAGTGCTTGGAGAACTTCGGTGAGACATTGCACATGTTCCCTACAGGCTGTTCTTTTGAGGTTATGAGTTCTTCACCCTGCCAGAGCAGTGATTAGGGAGAACAGGTATCTAGGAGTGGGAGAAAGATCAGGATGCTGCACAGTGCGTAGGCAGTGCCAGCCTGCAGATGAAATTAGAGCTGGGGAAAGGTGGTGAGGTGCAAAAGTAGCTGGTTGTGCAGAGGTCTCCAGTTTGCTCTTTCTGCAGCAAAATTCAGTACAGTAATATGGGCCTTACCCAGGACAAGAAAAAGAAGGGAAAAAGGATGAAATCTGGGAGATACTCAGCTTTCTCATTTAATCACAACAAACTGAAAATGTCTCACACATTCAGAATAGAAGAAAACTAGTCATTAACTTATGCGAAGCAGCTGGTTTCCCAATAATGGCTCCTACACATTCTGGTTTTAATATTATTGTTCTTGTCAACTGTGGGAATGCAATGTATATTAATCACGGTTTATTCCAAATTGGTCATTGTCGGAGTTAATAATTAGGTAGTCARGCACTAATTATCTCTATTTTGTCTCCAATCGCTAACTAAGAAATCWGGAAAAGTAATTTCAGAGGCACACACAGTAGAGCAGGCTCTGCTGTGGGCACAAGAGATGCTTCACTACAGAGCGGCACCAGAAAGCGTCTGGGAGCAGAGTCAGGGTGATGCTGCTCTGAGAGCACCTTGGACGAATGCACACGCATGTGTGCCCACCTGCTCTTTGCACCCCTGGCTCACCTCTGAAGGAGGAAAGCTCCTCGAGGGCACTGCCTGGCACTTGGATGACAGATCTGCACAGGCAGGGCCACCACGGGCCACCCTGCTGGCTGCAGCMCTGCTCCCAGGCAGCTTCGGGCTGGAAGGGCACCTCCAGCAGGAGGATGGGCAGCAGTGGGAAGAGGGGGCACCACGGGTGTGCTCAGAGGAAGTGAAATCTCAGCATTTACTCTGAAATAAGACTCACGTGGAAATTACCACAGGCAAGAGCTCAGGACAAAGAAGGGGCTGGCACACAAGGAATAAGAGCCCTCGGGCACACAGATGGAGGTGTCTGAGCCCCTGCTGGGGCAGGGGACACACACACCACCCCTCTGAAGGTCTGTGCATTCACACCCTGACTGAACCTGCACCACTGGTCTCCACCAGCCCAGAACTCCCATCTCTCCTCAGATATGTGCAAGCTATCCCAGCTGCAATCATCCTCCCCTGTTTTCCCTATGCATTGTGGAGATCACACTGGAGGGGAAGCCTTTAGAATTAGTTCATGGAAYGTATTTTGCTGACCACTTTAAATTAAATTTGGTATGCCCCCACAGTGCCTTAGCAGACAGAAATAAAAAAAAATCCCTTTTCAGTAATTCTGTTTTAAGTTATCCTTCTCATACAAGAATATTTGAAGTTATCCTGCGCTTGTAGGCACAAAACCTCCACAAGATGTGAAGACCAGCAACCACCACCATGTGTTACAAACTTACTTCAACATAGAGGATGGGGAAAATGCCAATCTTGTCACCCAGCATTCCTTCGGCCCAGTTGTCATCCACCCTCCTGATGACCGTCAAAATCTCATCCTAAAATCAGAGATATAAAAAATACATAATAAGATATTTTCAGTAGAAAGATGYCGGTTTTTAGTTACCCAAATGACAGCTAAGAGAGTGCGTACACACAGGAGGTCATAAGCTCGGTAAAAATGTTTCCTGAATCCTGGGCCAGCATCTTATCCCAGGCATCCCATTCAAAGTGCACTGAAGCACCCTACAGATTTGTGCAGCTCATGTTGGATGTCAGCAGCCCCAAAGGTCTGGGAACAGCAGGTGGGAATAGGTAACTCTGGCTTCCTTACAGGGAGGGAAGGATGTCTGAGCCAAGAGGTCACCGCTAAATCAAAGGTGAAATCTCSTGAGCATGAAGTTGCCCCTGTGCACCCAAGGGTCTGTTGTGATGCTTTGTCTGCTCCATAAGACAGTTCCAAAGGGAAACACCAGCACAGCACAGGCAGTCCTGGAAACACTTCCAGCAAGGAGCGTAAGGAATAGTACAAGATGCTCAGCAACAAGCCTACACTGCTGACATACTGAATGTCAGTTTTTCTTAAAAAAATAACAAAGTAAAATTGCAAAGAAGACAAAAAGCCAAGGATAACATACTAAAAGACAAATTGCATTCACCTGTTGGATCAGATTCAGTTTAGATACAAGTTCACTTCCTAAAGCCTACGGTATTTTAATATTATATTTGACCTAGGRGACCTTACAAAAAATTTTAGCAGATGATGAACATTTTTATGATTATAAAACAAGAGATAAAACAAATTGCAAATTAGATTTATAGTGCTTAAATTTTATCCTGCTATAGTTCAGACCTAGAACATACACGTCATTAGAAAAGCTCAAGTAACTAGAACAAAATCCCGAATTTTCCCAGTCTGAACTACTCAGTTTGTCAAGGGATTTCTGCTACCATCCCTGCCTTCTGGGGTCATCATGCTAAACCCAGGCTTGTGCCAGCACTGCTTGCTACAGCAGCWGTGGAAGGCAGCCCTCTCCACAGGGCTCTGCCTGGATGCTCACATCTCCTACGAGAAAAGAAAGGAGTGGGCTGAGAGAAGATGGGAAGTCAGCTTTGTTCCCTCATGACATCCAATCTTCCTCTGCTCCTGTGCAGAAATTTACAAAAAAGAAGAAAATCTCTTCCTCCAGAAAGCTGAGAGAGGGTTCCCTGCCGATCTCGCTTCCTTTCCAATACTCACTGTTAAAATAAGAGCTACATATGGTCTACCACGCTCCATGTAACAGGATACTGATGTCAAATGGCCAGRCAAGGGCAGCTGGTTTTTTGCAGATACTTCTCACATAGAAAAAAACCCCACAAATTCCTGATCCAGGATGTTCAGATCACGGATTTGCACTGATAGAAAAATGACCAGAACAGAGATGTGATATGATGTACTTTGYAGTTTTGGAACATGTGCATTTTGAACACGTGCACTCTGAAATAGTTTAAATGTTTCCTCTGAATTATTCATCTGAATGATCCATTAGGGGAAAGCTCATAGAAATGGCTACAAACTCAGTCCTTCGGCTATTTATTACAGCTGGAAGGACACAAAAAGAATTTGTGCATTTAATTTCCTGAAGAAACAGATAGCATTCCCTTCCAAAGCCCTGTCTGCACAGACCATTTTTGATCTGTTTAAAGAACTGACAGTAATSCATCTCTGCAAAAGCTTCCACATGCTCTTACAAAAGACCGATTAGCATAAATTTAGAATCTAGGTAAAGGGGGTAAACGAGGAAAAGAAACAGCTGCATCAATTCAGGAACTTGCTATGAGTGTTCCTACTTTCTATATTTGTTCAGCTATTTCCTTAAAGAGTTTTTTCTTTTAAAATGCAAGATGTGATGGGTCTATACTTTCACTGTATGTTTGCATGCACATATATAATCTTATGTGTGTGTAAGTGCTTAGGTACAGGTATGAATAGAATCAGATTGTTCAGGTTACAAAGGACGTCTAAGATCGAGTCCAACTGTTAACCCAGCACTGCAAATAAATGCATATTATACATTTTGTGTGTGTGTATATATATATATACATACACACAAAAGAAATTAAGAAAAGTATTTTAAACTGTGAAACCCCAGAAGAATTTGACTAGATTTTGTTAAAGAAACTGTACAATCCCATCCCTGGAGCAGGCTGCACAGACACCTGTCAGGAAAGGCTTATCCTGCGCTGACATTGCTCAAGAATGGGGTGGGGAGTGGCTGACCTTTGAAGATCCCTTTCAACTTTACCTTGTATGAAATCTGGAAGCATTTCCAAACGCTCAACTTAGTTTAGCTCAGCCAAGTCTGGCTGCTGAATATGGTCATATATGAGAAAAGCATCCTGAGATATGCTTTTATTCAAAATGAGTATCTTCGTGGGAGAGCAAATTCTTGAGAATTCCATTACATAATTAGTTTTCAGGAGGGTGTTGAAAATCTCCAGAAATTACAGCAAATCCCAAAAAATCTTTTGAAATTTTTTATTACTAGAAAGTTTCTTTGAATTAGCAGCCAACGACATCATTCTATATGGTTAGCTGGTGAAAGATTCAGCATGAACTATTTTAGAACCTTTTATTAGTTGGAGAGCCATGCTACTTATAAATTCCTAGAAAGGTTCCCAAAAGGATCATGAATAGTAAAATGCCACAGATCTTTTGGCATACCACTTCAACTTTCTGAACTTCACTATTTCACATTGACTAAATTGATTTCCAGGCAGCATAAAGGAATCCAAGCCTCAAATCTAATTTCAAAAGCCAATGGTATCCACTGTAGTTTGGACAAAGATATGTCATGCTCTTTTTATGCCTGTTGCTAGAGCCTTTAATTATTTGCTCTCGCTACTYGCTCGAGTTTCTCTCTATTCATCAGCCTTGTGAAAGGCATGTGGGACCTGCAGTTCCAGTTTATAATCATTATCAGAAAAGAAGTCAAATATAAATCACTTAAAAAGCAATCTGATTGACAGAGAAATGAATCCTTTCGCTGAGAAAACAGCACAAAATTGTGTCCAATAACAGTCATGATTCACAGCCTGATTTTTATTCCAGTCATTAATGGCCATTAACGAAGCGCTACAGAGCAGCTGTGCCTGCTATTCTGCAGAGATAACTACTCCATCCAGAGCTCTGGGACATCTCAGGGATGGCAGGATGGCACCACGTGGCKCTTGGTGGCTCCAGTGACAGCGCCTGCCAGCTGGCACCAGAATCCCTCTCACCAGCTATGCCGGGATGGTCCCTCTGGGAGCAGCAAATGCTGCTGGAACTGAGTGCTAAGGGGCTGCTCCACGGCCAGGAACAGCAGAGGATGTGATGGTTCTAAGACTGGCATGGCTCCTGTTAGACACCGCTGTGGGCTGGGAACATGAGTGCTGGAAAATGAAGGAAACAGCTGATATTAAAAATGTGATGAGCAATGAAGCATGGCGAACAGTTGATGCTACCTTGACAGGTTTGAGACTCATCTGCCAGTGGCACTCAGCCTCCTGGTGGCCGTGTGAACGTGCATGCAAAGGTGGCCAAACACCAAAACAAACTGYGGGCTGAAACCAGACTCAGTGCAAGGCTGGAGTAACCACACAGACAGCCACGCAATTATTTCAGGTTTGCACTGCTACACGTCAGAGCAGAATCTTCTTACACGTGGTTTGTACCAGAGTTCATAGCCCAGAGGATAGTTTATTTTTTTACACAGGGACAGCAGGAGCCCAGGCCCCTACTGTGGTTAGGAGAGATTAATTAGAAAGCTGAGACAATAACATATCCCAAGGGCATGCAATCAGGCTCTGTAGGTCACAACATGAGTGCAACCACACTAGGGAGCATCAGGAGCAAAACTTCTGAAGCTACTGGAGTTAAACTGGTGTCAAGCTGACACAAGACTGGAACCAGTTGTTACAGAGAAAAAATAACTGCCTGGTTTGGCTGATCACTGAGGGAAAATATATTAAGTAGCAAATCTGGGATGTTCTATCATCACACAGCCAGTGCAGAGGAGAGGACAGAGGTGARACCCTATGCCTGTGTGTATGGTTTATTTGGGAGGAGGACTGGAGGGAGCAGTCCCAATGGTGTAGAAGAATGAMAGGTGGGAGCTTTGTTTGTTGCACTTGATACTCAAGACAGATTTTTCTCTTTCTCTCCTGGTTTTATTCTTGCACATACAAAATTATTACATTTGATCTATCCTTGGCCTTTTATCKGGAAAGTGGTATGTCTACAGGAGATGAAAATGGGTAAACAGCAGGACTCTGCGGCACTGCTCAAGAAGATCTATGTAAAGTAGACTTCATTTCCTTGCAATATACCTCTGGAACAATGGAGGATTTTAATTTTAAAAAACATGACAAAACAAATTATTAAGAGGAAACACCAAATATCTTTTGTTTGTTTTTTCTACTGTACCAATAGATATTCTGAGTCCATAGTAACAAGGGGGATGGGGAAAAAGCAAAGCCCAGCAAGAGAAGAATGAAGTGTAATGATCAGAGATCAAAGATCCCTGTGAGTTTCCTTCTTACAGCTTTTCTTTACAGGAAAACTCTTCTTTATTATATGATTATAAGTAAAATCCAGTTTTCTAAGAGTCTGGTAGCCTTAAATGCGTTGCAGGACACAAATAGGTTATATTAATTTGTATAAAAGGTATGTCAATGAAACCCCTCCACCAGTGGAAGGAATAAASAGTGTAAATGAAACTGAGCTCAGGTCCAGCTTCTTCAGATGCAAACTGAGACATCCAAATGATGCATATTGCTCGAAGTGACAAATCACATCTAYAGCACTGCACTGCTCAGGGCTCTGTGCAGAGGAACTGACTGCATCAGCAGATGATCTATAATCTGGGCTAAACAGGAACCTTCATCAGCACAGGTGACAGCTAAAATTAGCAATGAGAAAACTGATGAAAACATGATGGTGAAGTTCCAAGATGAAAAATAGATTATTCACTGTCAGGGAGAACAATAGGCAGGACATAAAAACTGTTACAAGGTGACAGTGTGTWCGGTGGAAGGAGCTAAAGATGAAAATAGCAGTAGAAGAGAAACCAACCCCCTTGGGGAAARTACAGTCATCAGGGATAAAAGGATGCAGGCAGTAACATGAGGGGTGAAAACAAGGAAAATTGAGAGATTGAGAGTAGAGCTATACAGCAGGGAGAAAGGCTCCATGTGAGAATGACATTGGACAGCAGAGAAAATGAGAACTATCACTACACAAAGGCAGCTATTGTAAAGGAGGTTTTCTAATATATGGCACCAAATATATTAAATGCAAAAGTGTCTAGGAAAGGACCTGCTCCAAYAAAAACCACCACAACTGTCTACCAAACCTATTACATTTCTTAGACTGAACAAGCAAGGAATATTTTAGGCAGACAAGGAAGATTGCATCTCAGAAAAGTCACCAGCATACCTCTGGGCAGACAGCGAGAAAAACAACGCACCAGAAAATATATATTTACTGATAAAGTCTCAGAGGTAACTTCTGGCTAACTTTCTGTTAGTGCAGGGCTGTTACTTCTCACTAAGCAGCCCACTTTCTTGCAGAGATTCACAGCTCCAGGGAGGCTGGCTAGTCGCAGGGTTTGCAGTGTTTGCAATCAAACACTTCACTTGCTATGAAACAAAAGTGCTTACAAATCCTTTGTTAAATAAATATGAGAAAGTATACAGTCTAGGAAATTGCATTCTGCTGAGAAACAATGCATGAGTGAAAAAGATGTTACATTCGGTGAGAAAATTACATGCTGCAAATAATTCATTCAGCTATAATAAGTAGCTTCAAAAGAGGAGGTCAGTAAAATCCTGGTGAAGGATATTTTTATCATCTATTTCATATTCATTTTCAGCATAACTGTTATTACTTTATGTGATGCTGTAACAGCTGCAGACAGCTGAAATAAAACAGAAAATGACAATGAACAGGTTCTCTGTGGCATTCATTGCCATAAATTAACAATAGGGGATATGCTTTATTTTACTGTGGGTTTCTTGATATCCATGAAACCCATCTAAGGTCAAAACAAATTGCTAGGGAGGGGAGGGGGAGGCAAAAAGCAGGTGGGGAGGTGGGGGCAAAAGGGAAAACGTGACATTTTAAATCCAAAGGAAATTACAATATCTCAGTTTTCTCTCATTCCAAYAGGAATTTATTAAACATTTTGGTTTGAAAAAAACAAAGACTGTTTTTTAAATGTCTGCTTTTTACTGCCTTTATGTTCTTAAAATAGGAAATACTGTGATATATTATGATGATAGTGTATTTCAACTGCTAACTGGTATACAGTATGATGCAATATACATTTTGAAGCTGAATGTAATTTTAAAACACTGGAACATCTGATTCAATAAAGAACATTAAAATACACATTTCCATTAGATTTTTTTCTGAAATTTGAGTCATTCTTGGGGAACATTTCMATGCAGATGAAATGCATGCTTTTTAGAGAGCAATGTTCTCAGAAAGGATGTAACCAGTTCTTCTTGTTGAGCTTTATTGGCTTTATATCAGCCTTGCTATTCATGGYACAAGGTATTTCACAGARGGTAGGGCAGACCAGGGAGGCCAGRGAGGCCAGGAACATGTCCCACCAGTCCCAGCAACCCGGTGCTCCTGACTCAGGTACCGGCACCACATGTGCCCCATGGCTCCCTACAGAACCAGCTTTCTGAACCCTTTTTTAAAAATGTACTGCCCTACCTTGGTGAAGGTCAGGCAATCCTTGTCTTGATCTTTATCCTTTATTTCAAAGTCGTAAAGTGCTTTGCCCTGAGGTGGAGCCTGTGGGAGGGGCTTGATGCACTGGATGTAGCTGGCGGGGAAGAAGCCATGGTTCCCGTTGAGCTCCCCATGGTACCAGTTCTCGTCCACCTTGCGCCGCAGGATGATGATGTCCCCCTTGTTAAACTTGAGGTCACCGGGCTCTTTTCCCTCGTATGTGTACAGGGCTTTGCCATAGGGAAGCTGAGAAACACTCTGGGGAAACAAAAGAAACATCTTTAAGCAAACTTCAGTCAGCACCAATATCTTTAGAGCATTTTTTAGTTAGAAGCAAACAGATCAGCCACGACCAAATCACCCCAATGACAGCAGCTGACTGCCACGTCACAATGAACGCTGGCTCTCAGGAAAAATAGGCTGTACGTGATGACAAGCCTGAGAAAGTGGGTGAGTTACATCAGAGCAAGCACTGTCCATCTCATGTACTCAGCTGAAATCTGCAGTACCTCTGACACCACCAAACAGCATCGCTTAATTCGCAAAAYATCCTACGTAAGCAGAATTATGTTTAAACAAGTAGACCCGGACATGTCTAAAGGTAAAATATTAGACATTTTGACCTKCAGGGTTGCTTGGTTTCCAAAGCTCAGAAGAGAGACAAAACAAAACAAGCTTGAAGATTCAAGCTGGCAAATTGATAATTTTTCATTGTGTTTGTTAGAGCAACTTCAAACATTTTTAAGTTTGAAGCTTTTTGTGTAGCTTTTGATTCTGTAACCAAATATTCTTCTTTCCTTCAAAATCCCCAAGTCTCATGCTACTCACTGAGGGCCACTGTAAACAGTTGTAATATTCTTTGTTGCTCATGAATTAATGTCCTTGTGGAAAAGTGGAATAAGCAGAGTGCCTCAAATCTTCCTTTTAGAACYAAAAAGAGCTCCAAGGCTTTCACTCTCATTAAAAGAATTAAACAAACTTACTTAAAAATCATGGCCCATGAGAAAAGAAAAAGACTAAAAAGTTCATAGTTTGGTATGACAGAAAAGAGAAACCTGTTTGATGGTAGCCACTTGAGTGTGCAGAATTTTTCCCAGAGTTCATTTTGTCCCAAACTATCTCGCCCAGGCTGCCAACTGCGTGGACAACGTTTTAGTGGAATCACTGGTTTATGCAGCCCTTGCTCTCCCTGTCCTTGCTCCTCTTCTTTCTGAATTCCACAGAGCAGCAACTGTAACTGTGTTTGAAACAGCTTCCTGCTGCTTTGGTCATATAAAGGTCTTTAACCCATACTGGACTGGAAAAGGGGTATTGCTGTATTATCCTATACCATTTTTCACTTTATTTAGTTAGAACTGAGTGTCAGCTTGCAAATATGTAGCAGCACATAACACAGGGGATGTTAGAGGGTCCTGTAAAGTCAACCTTCCGTAAGAATTGGTTTTTTTTTTTTTCAGAGTTGTATTTGCAAAAATGTCAGTTTTCACTGCATACACATGCCTGTAAGTGGTCTGTTCCCTGTTGTGCGTCATGACTGTCAATGGGGTGTCCTATTGGGACAATGAAAAAGTAAAGCCATATTTAATAAAACACCCTGGTGTTTCTTATGCCTGTAGTTCTGGATGACATTCCTGTGCCTAAAATAACATTCAGATGCTCTCCCCAGAGGGAAGGTGGAGTGACCCRACAGAAACATTGCATTTCCAGAAAATGAGACGTTGGGATGGCTTTTCACGGTATTTGTTAGAGCCACAAGCGGCGGCATTTTTCAGTCCCGATGAGTGCATTAAATAGAGCTCGGGTGGGTGGGTTTTGTGCTCTCACATCCACATCTTTTGGCAAGAGGAGGAGCAGAGAAACCCCGCACAGCCCCGCTGCCCGCCAGCTGCCGGGTGCCACATGGGCACTGCGCAGGGGACACCCCCCGATCACAGTAACTTTCTCGAGTGCACCTTCACACATAGGTGCTCACTCGTTTTTATCAGGAAATGCTTTAGTAGCTGTGGAGCTCTTGGAAAGCTGTGCGACAGATCTCTGCCTACAGCCCACAGTGAAGGAGACAAACTCTCCTCTTGTCTGGAGGAAGATTTAATTTCATTCAGATGTATGCCCACTTCTAACTTTTCTCATTAGAGAAAACTGCAATTCGCAGTTCCCCTTTTTGCTCTGTATTCTTCTGGATTTTGCTGTATYTGAATGGAGCTACCCAGTTGAAGATCAGTTATTTGGGAAGCACCTTCAAACATAACTTAAAAAAATCATAAAATCAACAGCCAGCTAGCAAAGCATCCAACAGTCTCTGCCAAATCAGTGGCAGCATCCTACTGATATTTTTCTCTCTGCCAGGATGGTTATTTCCCTTGACAGCAAAGCCCTGCCCCCCTACCCAGCATTTTAAAGATTAAGCACACAATACTGTCAAGCTCCTTAGGTAAAGCATAGATTGCATTWCTCACTTGAAAGTAGGAAAAAAAATAAATTAAGCTGAAAGACTACAGAGTCTTGCAGTAATCTAGAAATAAAAGATTCATTACTTTAATTCATGCTGGGAGAAGACAATTTATCAAAGTAAGAGTTCTGCCAGGTGCACACTGCTGATCCAGACACAGGGCTGGCAAACACCCTCTGTATCACTTACCCTACACAGGRCCTTACTATTCCCAAAATCTTTGTAGCTATTCAAGGTCAGAGCACTTTCTTTACTTTTTAGCCACTTTCTCTTCCCAAGCCTCATTTTACTGTGTAAAAAGGCAACAGACCCCAGTGCTACAGAAAGTGGATTTTACTCCATTGCACACTTCACCAATGAAATTCTTATGCAACACATGGCAGGATTTTATTGATAATTAATTGATCTGGCAATAAGATGATTCAGGTCCCTGTTTTCACCTTCACCTGACGCACATGAAGACTTTTAAGAAAAACAAACTGCCAGACATAAATTTTCTTTCGAAATCTGGCATTGTTTTATTTGAAGATCTTAATGTGGGAATTTGCAGCTTAGGTGTTTGTGTTCCCCTTCTCTTTCATAGGGTTATCTGTGGACAATGCCATCTCAAAACTGTCCCACACAGAGGAGATCTGTGCAACTGCCAGGGAGAAGGGCTTCCRAAACAAACTGGTCCAATTATCAGCWACAGCTTTTCTAATCCTGAATCACAGCTTTTCAACTAAAACTCTGTAGAGGCACTTTTTAAGGTAAACATGCTATTTAGTGGAAAAGATACCCTCTTACTGAAAAAATGCTGAAAGTGAGATATTTCCCAGCCTTTCTGTAAGGCTCCATGTACCCATTTAGATTTGAGCACCCCAGGTAAATATTGCATTTGCTGTGGCCCAGGTACCAGTGTCCTCTAATCCTTTGCATATAAAGCTATTCATCCTGCTCTACAACTTTATATGTCTGCTCAAATTGACCAAAGAGAGAAATTTAATAATACAATTACAAAAAAAAATCCCAAAAACTCAAACCAAACCAAAACAATAAAAACACAAAAAACCCCMAAAAAAYCCCAACCAATCAACTAACCAACCAAAAAAATTCAAACACCCAAAATAAACCCTTGAAGTTTCTTTGATGATATATTATAGCCAAAAGATCTAGCTTTCAGCAGACTTTTCATTGTTAGATTATATTAATGGTCCCTACGAAGCACACTTTTKGAAAATTCCCATTATTATTCCCACTTTTGGTTAATTCATAAGTGAGAAGTGAATCAGATCCAGAAAGTTCCTCTGAACTACATCCAAAAAGAGGGAGCATTAAGAATCTTTCAGAAATAGAATAAAAACAATCACTGCTGCTGTTTGCTAGTTGTCTGGTCATGAACAGGTATGTTGTTGTTAGAARTCTTCCTCGGATTCTGATTATCACCCTTGTTGCCAAACTTTTGTGCAGGCAATTCTGGCCTTTCCACCCCATTCTTCTTCATCTGACTTTCCCAATTCAAAGGAAAAGYGGTCAGCCAGGACTGATACCCAACTGACGTGCAAACTCCCCACACCCTGCTGGTGAGCATGTCCTACCCGTTTTATGTTCAAAATCTCAGCTCATGCCCTGGCCTATTTCCCCTCAGGTCTTTGTTCCATGCAACAGCATTTCAGTCAGAAATAATCACCTTCAGAATGCCCAGGTGGTCCTTCCTACAAAATATTCTAATCTGAAACAGGGAATAAAGTATCATCTATCTAAGAGATCAGACTAAAGCAAAGCAGGGACAGGCAATGGTTTAGGGGAAGCAAAGAGGGGTCCCATGAGGAGCTTGGCAGAGATCACCACCCCACTGCCTTTCTCCAAGTCAGCTCTTGACCTGTGCTTCACTGTGAAGAGCCCTTGCCATCACCCCCCTCCTCAGCTGCCATGAAATCTGGTCAGGCATAAATGCAGGTGGCTGCAAAATTAAACAGCCTCGACATCTGACTGCATCACGTAGTTGATTTGCCCTGCTGGTTTATTGTGAGGCTAACTGGCATTTGGCTATGATGTGTATTAAATTTCAAAACTCTGTGTGGGTGTGTATAGAAATAAAAAATGTAAGAAAAGAAGAAAGGAGGGGATGAAGTCACAGTCAATGGCAGCAGCCAGTTTCTTTTTCCTGCTGCTAAATCCATGCTGGCACAATGCTGAATACTGCCAAAGGTTTCTTTTCTATTTCAGCAATCAATACTGACGTAAAAGCCTGAAGCGTTAATATGCTGAAAATCCCCCTTGCAGAAGACTCAATGATATGTTGGCAACTCAATCATTCTGCATTTGTGTTTCAGCAATGTCAAATGGCAGCAGTTAAGCAGAAACCTGCTGGCAAATTGACAAACAACAGGCATGAAGCAATTAACTGGCAAAGCTGGAGCATTCTTCATTATGTATCCCGAACAACAAAAGGAATGGGAAAAAGCCCAAGCATGCTTGCTTCCAATAAATTCCCCCAGTAGAAAGCTTAGCAGAATGTGAGCTGCACAGATAGAGTAGGTCTKCAGTTTTAAAAGTTACAGAAAATAAACGCTTTCCCAATGCGCTCAAAAGCAACGCAAGCTCCAACGTGGGTCAAAGCCTGCCAACTTCTGTGTGCAGGACTTGATGGAGGAGGTCACTACATAGGAAAAAGGTCTAATCCATGCCCAAAGTACCATGAGGGTGTCTATAAAACATGAAATCAAAAWTAAAATAAACYTGGGCAAGGCCTCCAGCTACTAAACCCAGACAGAAATGCTATGAGCCAACCCTTCTCTCAAACCAGCTACAACTCTCCACAACAGCAGAGCATAAGATTGTTTTTCTGCAGTGTGAAAGCCATGTTATATCTGAAGGGTAACTTCTCTTGCCCAAGCTCTTGCCTTGTGCAGCTAAAGCTGTGCAAAAAATGGAAACCTCAACCTCTTTGCTTCAAGGGCTTCCCTCGCACATGGGGATCCCCCACCAGAGGCAGATGTGATGCTGTCGGCCCCATGGGGCAGCAGCATCACCTGACCCCTGTTTCAGGGGGATGAAAGAATCAAAGAATTGGAGACATGCAAAAGATGGAGGAGCATTTAAYTCCTCCTTCCCTCTGCTCCATGGGTCTTGATCACAGTCAGAGCTAGAGGTGRAGCAGGAATGGATAAAGCCAAACAACCTCAGAACACACTGCTGGAACAGCCTGATAAGAACACRGCTAGGGACAATAATTTGGGKTYWKTTTTTTTTTTTAARTCTGTACATAAGTCACTTTAGMAAAACACACTGGCATGTTGCTTGTTGMAGTTCTTCAAAATTCTCCAACAACTATCTCCATATCCCCCATCCTTCAAATACATTTCTGAAGAGTCTGTTCCTCTGTATAAATGTATATACATACATCTCTTTCATCAAACACTGCCAAGTGTAAACATCCAAATTAAATTAAAAGTCAATAAAAAAGAAAAAAACACAGAAAGGAAAAAGTTATGAAAAATAATTAAAAGCAYGCACATCTCAGTGGTAAAATACAGTTAAACACAAGCTATTACTATAGAGCATAAATAGTAATTAAAATACATACTGCTATTTTTTTGCTCCATTGCTTTGAAGCATCACACATTAGTGTAGATCTCCCAGTCTACACAAGCAGAGATTCRGTGGTGACGGTTTGGACTGAATTTACATTTTCCAACTGGTGGGAAACTCCCCGCAAGCAGGCTGGGTGACATTTCAGCATATGGTTTCCTGACATCCAYAAGAGCTCTGCAGAAATCCCAGCAGCTGTGCTGGAGAGGACAGAGCTTGCCTGATGGAGCATCCATCAGCAGGAGTGCTGAGGAGGAGACGGGCTACTCCCTGTTACAACCCTATTACCCAGATCCTGGCATCCAMAACACCCATTCAAATCAGCTGAGAGCAATTTAAATCATGAGCGTGAAACGCCTGCTCRGATCCTTTTAGGACAGGAAAGTGGAAGGCAGCCTGGCACAACAATTCACTCCATTGTGGTGGCAATGACAGCCATGTCTGCCGGACTTGGCAGGGCCAGCAGGGACSGTGTGCTGCCCACTCACTCCTCTCCATCCTGTCCAGTGC